ATGAATGAACCAAGGCGAGGTAAGTGTACCTTATACGGACCCTTGAGGCACTCCACTCATCACCCCTCCCCACTCCCATACTACCCCCCCACCCCACCTTTTTCACTGCCTGTGACGCTTTTCTAAGAGTTTCTTGTGAGAAATGTTTGTCTAAATTTTCAGATAACCAATGAAGATGCAGCCTGCCCGTCCCTGCTGTTTGGTTAATGGTGTCGTGTCATAGGAGTCTTATAATAAGTTGAATATTTGTTGATGTTTGGAGACAGCAGTTGTCTGCTCCCTTGTGTGTGTGTGTGTGTGTGTGTGTGTGTGTGTGTGTGTGTGTGTGTGTGTGTGTGTGCTAGCCTTAGGTCTCGTCTGGAAGGGAGCAACACTGACATTGTCACGTAATGAAATCACACACACACACACACACACACACACACACACACACACACACACACACACACACACACACACATAAAAGCAGACAAGCACACACACACACACAAAAGCAGACAAGCACACACACACACAAAAGCAGACAAACACACACACACACAAAAGGAGACAAGCACACACACACACACACACACACACACACACACACACACACACACACACACACACACACACAATCAAGAGAAACACTAAAACAGACGAGAACTCCACAACAGCTGTATTATGTACTCAAAAAAACAAACATGAATGATTAATCTTATTCAATAATACCTCCCCTTCAGCACTGCAACAACAGCAACAAGGTCGATATCACTGTATAAACAAATATTTATCCAGCCTTAGGGGTTAGGTTTGCAATCTCGGTGCACCGGTCTTAACAGGAAGCGTTAAACCGGAGGCGATAGGGCTCTGTGGCCGCCCCCAACAAAAGCACAGAGCTTACTGGAACCGTTTATAGTCGATTTTTCTTTCTTCTGAATAAAAAAAAGAGAACCCTCATATGTCACACACACATCTGCTCTCTGGCTTCCGAACCACATACAACCACCACAAAATACAATATCCTCCACTACACTCAAATCCCCCACACTACTCGCAATACTCCCCTACCACCTACAATACCCTTACCACATACAATACCCTCCCTGCCACATACAATACCCCCTACCACATACAATACCCCCCCTACCACATACAATACCCCCTACCACATACAATACCCCCTACCACATACAATACCCCCTACCACATACAATACCCCCTACCACATACAATACCCCCTACCACATACAATACCCTTGTGAATCACACAAACACAAGCACGTACAAAAGCAGACGCGCAGATAAAGTTTCCTCAAGACGAGTACCCACAAATACAGGCATGAAACCACGCAAGTAGAAAGGCTTATAAAACCACTAAAGTACCAACCACAACAGCAGACGTGGCAGCTACAACAGCAGACGTGGCAGCTACAACAGCAGACGTGGCAGCTACAACAGCAGACGTGGCAGCTACAACAGCAGACGTGGCAGCTACAACAGCAGACGTGGCAGCTACAACAGCAGACGTGGCAGCTACAACAGCAGACGTGGCAGCTACAACAGCAGACGTGGCAGCAACAACAGCAGACGTGGCAGCTACAACAGCAGACGTGGCAGCTACAACAGCAGACGTGGCAGCTACAACAGCAGACGTGGCAGCTACAACAGCAGACGTGGCAGCAACAACAGCAGACGTGGCAGCTACAACAGCAGACGTGGCAGCAACAACAGCAGACGTGGAAGCCACAACAGCAGACGTGGCAGCTACAACAGCAGACGTGGAAGCCACAACAGCAGACGTGGCAGCTACAACAGCAGACGTGGAAGCCACAACAGCAGACGTGGCAGCCACAACAGCAGACGTGGAAGCCACAACAGCAGACGTGGAAGCCACAACAGCAGACGTGGAAGCCACAACAGCAGACGTGGCAGCCACAACAGCAGACGTGGAAGCCACAACAGCAGACGTGGAAGCCACAACAGCAGACGTGGCAGCTACAACAGCAGACGTGGCAGCTACAACAGCAAACGTGGCAGCAACAACAACAAACGTGGCAGCAACAACAGCAGACGTGGCAGCTACAACAGCAGACGTGGCAGCTACAACAGCAGACGTGGAAGCCACAACAGCAGACGTGGCAGCTACAACAGCAGACGTGGCAGCAACAACAGCAGACGTGGAAGCCACAACAGCAGACGTGGCAGCTACAACAGCAGACGTGGAAGCCACAACAGCAGAAGTGGCAGCTACAACAGCAGACGTGGAAGCCACAACAGCAGACGTGGCAGCTACAACAGCAGACGTGGAAGCCACAACAGCAGACGTGGCAGCCACAACAGCAGACGTGGAAGCCACAACAGCAGACGTGGAAGCCACAACAGCAGACGTGGAAGCCACAACAGCAGACGTGGAAGCCACAACAGCAGACGTGGCAGCTACAACAGCAGACGTGGAAGCCACAACAGTAGACGTGGCAGCCACAACAGCAGACGTGGAAGCCACAACAGCAGACGTAGCAGCTACAACAGCAGACGTGGAAGCCACAACAGCAGACGTGGCAGCTACAACAGCAGACGTGGAAGCCACAACAGCAGACGTGGAAGCCACAACAGCAGACGTGGCAGCAGCAACAGCAGACGTGGCAGCTACAACAGCAGACGTGGCAGCTACAACAGCAGACGTGGCAGCTACAACAGCAGACGTGACAGCAACAACAGCAGACGTGGCAGCAACAACAGCAGACGTGGAAGCTACAACAGCAGACGTGGCAGCTGCAACAGTATACACAGCATCCACAACAGCAGACGTGGAAGCTACAACAGCAGACGTGGCAGCTACAACAGTATACACAGCATCCACAACAGCAGACGTGGCAGCTACAACAGCAGACGTGGCAGCTACAACAGCAGACGTGGCAGCCACAACAGCAGACGTGGCAGCTACAACAGCAGACGTGGCAGCTACAACAGCAGACGTGGCAGCTACAACAGCAGACGTGGCAGCTACAACAGCAGACGTGGCAGCTACAACAGCAGACGTGACAGCAACAACAGCAGACGTGGAAGCAACAACAGCAGACGTGGCAGCTACAACAGCAGACGTGGAAGCAACAACAGCAGACGTGGCAGCAACAACAGCAGACGTGGCAGCTACAACAGCAGACGTGGCAGCAACAACAGCAGACGTGGCAGCAACAACAGCAGACGTGGCAGCTACAACAGCAGACGTGGCAGCTACAACAGCAGACGTGGCAGCAACAACAGCAGACGTGGCAGCAACAACAGCAGACGTGGCAGCAACAACAGCAGACGTGGCAGCTACAACAGCAGACGTGGCAGCAACAACAGCAGACGTGGCAGCAACAACAGCAGACGTGGCAGCTACAACAGCAGACGTGGCAGCTACAACAGTATACACAGCATCCTCAACAGCAGACAAAGTACCCGTAAAGTATCGTAATCAGAAAATACACACAACCAAACGAAGCGCCAAACAAATGTAAACAGGAACATAAAAGCAGACAAGAGCCCACAATAACAAAGAAACACCCCCCCCCTCCCCAAAGGGAAACACACACCATATTGCCCAACCAGCTCCTACAAAAGCAAACTACCCCTAACAAAGGCCAATCAAAGCACACAAATGCAAAGGGCAAGAAAAGAAAAGAAGAAAATAAGAGGGGGGGGCAATGAGAGACAACTAAAAAACACAAAGCCAATATTTCTTCCCCTACTAAATACATTTCGCCACCCTTATTACCACTCCACTTCCCCCCTTCCTCTCTGTTCCTTCCCCCCTCCCATAAATCCTCCACCTCCCCCCCCCTTAACCTGCAACCCCCCAGACACGTAGCTATTTACCTCGACAATTTAAAGTCGATTTATATCAATAACTGCATAAAAAATACACCTAAATCAATGGGCGGGCGCCGATGAACAATTAGTTAATGGTCATGCTTGCTGGCGATTTATTGGCTGATTTGCGTTCTGTGTTTTGGTTTGGTGCCCCTGGACGATGGCGGGGAGGGGGGGGGGGTGGCATGGGTTGTGCTTGGGGGGGGGGGAAGAGAGGGGGGTTGATTGTGAAGGGTGGTAGTGATTGTGAGAGTGGGAGGTGATGGTAATTATGAGGCTGGTTTCTCATTAGGCCGCTACGGACACAATACTCGTTTACAGGTATCTCTCTCTCCCTCTCTCTCTATAATTCCCACCGATCACTCTCTATCCTCGCTATAACCTCTTTCTTCCTCTTCCTACCCTTCATATCTCCTCCGTCTCTCTTACTCCCTACCCTTTCTCTTCACATTTCCCTTCCCTTGTCTCTGCTAACGCTGAAACTAAGGAAGAGGGACGGGAAGGGCAGTAGGCAGCGAGGGGATAAAGAGCCTCTCTCAACAGGTCATACCAGCAGGGTATGCTTGTCTTGGAAGCTAGACGTAGATATATAAGAATACTTAGCAAGAGGGTAAATATAAAAATGTTGTGGATTCCTTCTCACATTGGCCTGCAGGAACATGACAAAGTTGACGCCCTTGCTAAGGCTGCAGTAAATAAAGACAGTATTGAACGAAATCTTGAGTTATCAAATAGGTCCCTTAAAAGTGTCATTAGACGAGAACTCCTGAATGAATTTGAAGAAAGTAGAACAGTGCAAACTGGAACTAGTAGGTCCATTGTTCATCACAATGAAATGTGTGGAGTAAAACATGTGTATGGGGCAAGTAACAAAGTCAGTAGACTAACAGATGTTGTCACAGCTCGTATAAGACTTGGCTACAAGTATTTCTGGCAGTTCGGCTTGTATAGGGATCTAGATGAAGTAAAGTGTAAAGTGTGTGGACAAAGATAGGGACACACTCGAACACTATATCTTGGATTGTAGTAAAATTGAGCCAATTAGAGATAAATCTGGGCTCGCGCTATATGATATAGCAACCTATTTCATTATCAAGGGAAAAATACCTGAAATCCTTGCACTGTATCCATATTTCGCTTCCAGTAGATAAATGACATATGAGATTAAGAAACTCAGTATTGTGAAGACTAATAATAAACAGCAGCTCCCCAATGACACTGTAATATCTCCATTGGTCAAACAATTATGTATTATCAGTAAGAGCTACCATTAATGTATAATGATTTACTGTAAATATAAAGCTCTTGAAATAGCACTTTCTCTGTAACTAGCTGACATTGTAACTATAAGGTATGAAGGATAGATGAAATTGTTTATGTAATAATCTAAGATGAGGTCTGATATAGACCTTTTGTGCCCTCTGTAATGCTTTTGCGCTACCGCTCACAGGATGAGTATGGGGTGCACAATAAACTAGCCGCCGTGTCTGCCTCTGTCTGTGTCTGCCTGCCTGTCTGCTGCGGCACTCACACTATCATCCTGTGGGGGCGAGAGAGAGATCTTCTACACTTCTAATACGCCATGACGTCATGCCTCTCCCGTGTGCAAGATGGGAGAGGAGGGAGGAAGGACCTTATATTGTGGGGAAAATTCCAGGCAGCTAATAAGCTCTCTTTTTCAAATTGATTTAATAAAATAAAGTTATGTCTTATTTATTTTCTTAGTAAGTAAGTATTAATTAAGTGGACTGTATGTACTGGTAAACTGCCTGAAATCTTCTTACACACTATTGGGAGGGACAATTGGTAGCCTAAACCACTTTGTTATGGTCCCTTCTTAAACTACCAATTGTTTACCTTTAAAACTATTATTTCAGTTATTTCATTATAAGTAATTAATTATAACTACTGCTACTGCTATAATGTCTTAGCTGTGCCAGTAGAATGGGCCTAGTAAGGCGTGTAGGTGTAGCCTCAAGATGGGTGTGGCCCTGCCTCTTTGTGCCACGTAATGGCGGCTGGTGGGAAGGACAAGGCTTGGCAAACAAGTAGTTAATTATGTGTATGAACCAACTGTCTGCACAGATTCTTGAAGCTCCTCTCACAATTTACCTGTATGGGATGCAAGGAATTAATCAAAGTTCCCTAAACATATCAATTACAGGTATGACATGAACTGTGAGGGTGGTAATGGGGTACACGTACGGTGTTTTTGGGGATGTCCTACGACATAACCATCTACATATTTATATTAAACAGTGCACTTGAATAATAAACAATACTTGGTAGACGGATACAGTAGTTGTTGTGATGTTGTTAGGCTGTGTGGCTGGTGTTGACACGTAAATGGGGTGTCTAGCTGTTTACACCAGTTAAGACAGCGTGGTATGCTCATCCCATGTTTTGTTGATATTGTATAGACGCCTTCCTCTCCGGGGTGACGCTCTTATGCTCTGGTTCTCACTCAAAGTAATTTTACATTAACAAGGGAACCTAGCTACTATTTGATGTAAATAATTATATTCATTCTTAGTGATTACTTTTTTGTTAACTTTAGATACTAAACTAATCTATTAACAATGTTTCATAATGTAAATATACGATGACTTTGATGACGTCACGGAGTCGATGACGTCACGGAGTCTCCCATTTTCCATCCTGAAGGGAGTATAGACTAGGGGAGACTGTGTTATTTGTGTGTGTGGTTGTGTGTGTGTGTCGGTTTCCCGACATAATTCCCAGGGGCAGAACACGGGTCGAAGTCCCGGTAAGGACTGCGATCACTTTATTCTTCTCCCTCAGAATTATAGTGCTGCTTTAATTTGAGTTTACATTGTTGTGCAGCAGTCCGTTGGGGACGTATGTCCCGTACTGGCGTATCGGGTGCTGGAAGTCGTTGTACGTCTTCTTTCCTGGCCAGTTCTAAAGGTACTAATTTCTCTAAAGTTTTGAGAGTAGTGTTGCCTTTGCATTTTACTTTCACTATTCTCAAGATGCCCTGGCTGTCTGGATGAACAGAGACTATTTCTCCTATAGGCCACTCAGAGCGTGGTCCATCACTATCCACCAGAACTATGTCACCAGGGTTCAAGTTAATTCTGTTATAGGGATTGTTTGCCCCGTAATGATACTCCCTCAGAGCTGTTAGGTATTCACGAGTCCATACGTCATTCCACCGACTTATCACCCCTGAAAGATGTTTGAAACGTTGAACCAAATCACTCTCTTTGACATATGAAGGATCCTCTGGTTCCTCATCCGTAAGGGACACAAGTGTTTTGAGAGGTCTCCCATACATCAAATGAGCTGGACTTAATGGTTCACGCTGCAAAGCATCATCAGAGAGGTAGGTAAGTGGTCGGTTGTTAACTCGTGCTTCTATTTCTATGATTACTGTTTGAAGCTCCTGAAGGTCAATCTTTTGGCGGTGTAGGGTTTTCCGTAAAGACCGTTTCACCGTACCAACCATCCGTTCATAGAAGCCTCCATGCCATGGTGCTCTGGGAGGTATGAATTTCCAATAGCACTGCCGTTGAGTTAGGGCTGTGCGTACCTTTGGGTGTGTCCAGATTTTCCTCAGGCATGCTTCTCCTGCCACCAAGTTGGACCCATTGTCTGAAATCATTAACTTGGGACAAGATCTACGTGAAGCAAACCTGCGGAAAGCCTGTAAGAATGCTTCGGCACTCATATCGGGAGTCACTTCTAGATGGACTGCCCTTGTTGTGGCACAAGTAAAAAGACAGATATAGGCCTTTACTGGTTTCTTGTCTTTAGTGCCTGTCAGTGTTAGTGCTCCTGTGAAATCTACTCCTGTTGTCTCAAAAGGATGAATATGTACGACTCGTTCCTTCGGAAGTGGAGGAGGGCCAGGATATGGACACACTCTGGCATCGTATCTCCGGCATACAACACAGGATTTGATTATGGATTTTACTGTCTGTCTACCTTGGGGTAGCCAGTACTGTTGTCTTAATTCTGTGAGAGTATCTAATACCCCACCATGCAGAGTGCAGTATTTGTGTATATGTAACACAATTAGTTTGCTTACTATGTGGTGACGAGGGAGCAATATTGGATTTTTTGCCTCCAGATCTATGTCAGCATGTTGTAAGCGTCCTCCGCATCTTATCAAGTTATAATTGTCAGTGTCTAACCAGAGACCCAGATCATGTTGTAGCTTCTTA